GAGTTATCTCAAAGTTTGGGGTTGTCCAGCTTATGTCAAGACCCTAGCACCTGAAAAGTTAGGAGCTAGAAGCACCTTGTGCTACTTTGTAGGATATCCCAAAGAAACTAAGGGATACTACTTTTACTACCCTGAGAACCAAAGAGTTATTGTGTCCAAGAACGCTACTTTTCTTGAGGAAGACCTTCTTTCTCAAGAAGATAATGGGAGTAAGGTAGAACTTGAAGAAATTATAGATCTACAAGAACAGATAGAGGAACCCGAGTCTGTTGATCAGGCGATGCCTCAACTGGAGGCAGCAGACACCCAGCCCCGTAGGAGCACTAGGTTTAGTCATCCACCTAAGAGGTACGGTTTTGTGATTGAGAATCAGCAGACCGTTGAGGATGACAAGCCTGCTTCCTACAATAAGGTAATCAAGGATGTTGACTCCTTAAAATGGCAAGAAGCCATGGAATCCGAAATAGATTCGATGCATCAGAACAAGGTATGGACCTTGGTTCCACCACCTGAGGGAATAGTTCTTATTAGGTGCAAGTGGGTTTTCGAGAAGAAGACTGATGCTGATGGCAACATCCAAACCTATAAAGCTAGGTTGGTTGCGAAGGGTTACCGTCAAAGACAAGGAATTGACTTTGAGGAAACCTTCTCACCTGTTGCCAGATCAAATTTATTAGGATCATGCTAGCGATAGCCGCATATTATGATTATGAAGTTTGGCAAATGGATGTCAAAACCGCCTTCTTGAATGGGTTCTTGAAGGAGGAAGTGTATATGACACAACTTGAAGGTTTTGAATCCAAGAGTCAAGAGCATATGGTGTGCAAACTTCAAAGGTCAATATATGGGCTTAAGCAAGCTTCCAGGAGCTGGAATCTTCGTTTTGATGAAGTCATTAAGGATAACGGTTTTATCAAGAATGAGGATGAACCATGTGTCTACAAGAAACTTAGTGGGAATGCTGTTGTTTTCCTTATGCTATATGTAGATGACATATTGCTCATTGGAAATGACATTCCCGTGTTACAGTCCACAAAGGTTTGGTTGTCTGAGAACTTCACCATGAAGGATATGGGAGAGGCAGCCTATATACTAGGTATTAAGATCTATAGAGATAGATCCAAGAGGTTGCTGGGATTGTTCCAATCCACGTACATAGACAAGATGCTAAATAGGTTTAGCATGGATGGGTCGAAAAGGGGTTTTCTTCCTGTCGGTCATGGCATTCATCTCTCTAAGGCTATGTGTCCTAAGACACCTGTTGAAAGGGAGCGCATGGAGAGGATTCCATATGCATCAGCAATTGGATCCATCATGTATGCCATGCTATGTACTAGACCAGACGTCTCTTATGCTTTAAGCATTACGAGCCGATACCAGTCTGACCCTAGAGAGAGTCACTGGACGGCCGTGAAGACAATCCTTAAGTACTTGAGAAGGACTAAGGATTTGTTTCTGGTTTATGGTGGCAGTAATGAGCTGATAGTGAAGGGATTCACTGATGCAAGCTTCAAGAGTGATAAAGATGACTGTAAATCTCAGTCAGGCTTTATATACACCTTAAATGGTGGAGCAGTTTCTTGGAAGAGTTCCAAGCAAGAGACCATGGCAGACTTTACTATAGAGGCAGAATACATAGCGGCTTCAGAAGCGGCTAAAGAGGCAGTCTGGATCAAGAAGTTCGTTGCAGAACTTGGAGTGGTTCCGAGCATTGTTGATCTAATACCTTTGTATTGTGACAACACTGGTGCTATAGCCCAGGGAAAGGAACCCCGGTCTCATCAAAGGTTCAAACATGTGCTCCGAAAGTATCACCTCATCCGAGAAATTATTGAAAGAATAGAGATAAAAATGGACCACGTCCCCACTGATGATAATTTGGCCGATTCTCTGACGAAGGGTCTCTCTTAGAGAAAACATGATAGTCATTATGAGTCTTTAGGTTTGACACGTCGACCTGATTAGCTCTAGGCCAAGTGGGAGATTGTTAGTATATAGGTGTCCTAGAGACAATCTATTTTATCAGATGAACACTTTTTTCTATTTAGTATTTCATGATTAATAAATTTGAGCAAACTTTATCTTTATCATATTTATGTCTCGCCAATGTTTCATTGTAAATATATGTTTAAAGATAAAGACCCTAGGAATAGAACAGGTGTACACTCAAGGATCTATGATAGGGATCATGATCATGATGACTTGAGGACACTGAATGTCTATTACCTAAAATTTGTTCCTGTTCTTGAATCACCAAGAAAGGGTATTGGCGATCTCAATAAGACTAGTACGACATCATCTACTTGTATGGAGATACAAGGTAGGGACCTCATGGATTGCAGGCATGGTGATGCCTTAGCTGATGTCGTGGGTGGATCTGTTGGAGAACAGATAGCACTAAACTGACCCCTAGAGACTCCACAAGGATTCATTATGGAGAGTATCATTGGTTTTGTAAAGTCTCTGAACGTTTGGTAGTGCGGATCGTCCTAGACTTAAGGATGTTATCGAATACTATGTCCTAGAGTTATACTTTGACTGTACAACTCTATTCGCCTGAAAATGGGGAGAACAATGTACTCTTGGGTATAACTCGAATACATCAGTATGTATGGACATGCCGAAAGAACTCACAATCCCTTATAAGGGCTTAGTCGTTCACAAACACCGGTAGGGATGAGATGACTTCTAGTTGACTCGGGAATCTATGCAGAGTAAGAGATCATGAAGAGTCATGATCTGTCTTAGAGTCAATAGAAGAATATTCTTAGTTCCTGTGAAATATTATATTTAGTCAATAAAGAGAGCTGACACCCTATCCTTGCTCTCGACAAAATGTGACCGACGATATGAGGGATAATGCTGGCACGGTATTCAAATCAGAAAGGTAGATCACTTGATCAACTCAATTAGTTCTGGGGCTGCAGAGCATTGCTAGTGTATCAAGTAGTCATTAAATGGATTGGGCCTTTTTAAAGGAGTTTAACTAGTTCAAGTTTATTTATGTCAATAACTAATTGGGCCTAATGGGTCACACACAAAGGTTATTCCTTATTGCAAGTTATAGCAAGTTTGGACCAATAACAAGCTATTGAGCTTTGTCAAGACTATGAGTCAAGTTGGGTTGGAGTAGGGACTTCAAGCCCACTTGATCTATGCGCCCTTTTGGGGCATTAGTGGTGAAAGAGTTTTCTTCATTAATGGGCCCAAAGGCAAATTTGAATTTTGAATTTTAAAATTTGAAATTTGAATTTTTGAAATTTGAAATTTGAATTTGGATTTCGAATTCGAATTACGAACTGGGATAAGATGGAATTTATATTTGAGTTTAAATTTCAAATTTGAATTTGAAATTCTATGAGGTTAGGTTGTTGAGGATAATTTAAAATTATTTAAAAGAATTATCCAATAGAGATTGGATGGAGATTCTCTCAACTGCTTTTTCATTTGAATTTAGAATTCAAATGAATACTGTTGCAACAAAATTTCTGAGGGAAGAAGAGGAAGAGGGGCGCCTATGTGGAGAGAGAAATCTTGACTGGATTCTGTATCAGATTTCATGGAACAAATGGATATGATCCATACTTGAATTTTGAATTCAAGTCATGAAGCTTCCAAAGGCTCCTAACAGTCTGGTCAGTTGTTAAGTGAGAGGATCAAGCAAAGAAAGATCCTCTCACCATTCAAATTTGGCCTAACTAAATGGGGGGCTGATGCAGTTGATCAGATAATCAGAAAAAACCTGATGCTCCCTCTCTCCTCTTAGGGTTCTATGAAAAGTCCCAACCTTTCTTCTTCTCTCTCCTTTTTGCACCATCACCTAGCCTCAAGACACCATTACAGTCTTGAGAAAGATAATCCAAACACTTGGTAGCCTCTTCCTTGCATGCGCCTAGCCAGCCACCGAGGATAAGGAGGGATCAAGGAGAAAGAGTTCTCGCTAGCAAGAAAGAGATAACCGTGTGGATCACCGTTGGAGGGCGTCATCCTTTTGCGCCTACAAGTGAAAAAGGTAATTTTGAAACCCCATATTGTTTCAACGTAAAGCATTCATACATGGGGTGTATAGATGGTCTATGCTTTCGCTGCGAAAATTTTTGTTTTTCCACCCATGTATGCGCTCCATAGTATGACTATGGTGCAGTTTTTGAACCTTCAATTTTTAGCTTCTCCCACGCTTCCTTTGCGGTAGTTGCCTCCGAAATCTTCTCAAAAGCATCCTCATCCAATCCTTGATAGATGAGAAAGAGAGCTTTCTTGTCTCTCTTTCTTGAATCCTTCAAACTATCCCTCTGGGCTAGCTCCTTCTTGTGGCTTATCGTAGCCTTTCTCTACTACCTCTCACACATCTTGTGATCCAAGGAGGGCCTTCATCTTGATACTCCAATTGTCATAGTTGCTCTTGGTGAGCATAGGGACTTGAAAAGGAACCATGTTGCTACTTGCTATTTCTCTAAAAAGGATCTTAAGGCTCTTGATACTACTTTGTTGGGAGGAGGATATTTGAGAAAAGGAAATTGGAGAAATTTGGAGGAAGATAATACTTTTTACTACTAAACTCTTGTTTCTTCTTTGCTTGATACAAAATGATAGAGAACTCACCTATTTATACTAGTAGCACCCCTTAACCAATGGCTAAGATTGTGCCATCACAATTTGCATCTAAAGGCTACAAATTGCCTTCTAGAAAATTCTTTACAAACTCCTATACTAGACATTTATTATAGTCTCTAGTTCTAACCATTCTATGAAAATATCTAGAGACACACCTCTTGAATATTTGGGCCATTCAAAAAATTACTAAAGACTACTCTAGAATTTGAGCCAACTAACTATAGACTTATTTTTCAATACACACTTCTCTCAATCACATACTCACTCACTTTCGCATAACACCCCTCAGTTTCGCTTCAACACTTCTTCATTTTCTGGACTTCCAAAGAGCAAATTCGAGTCCCGCTTTCAAGGAAACGACATTGTGTTTACCTTTTTTTTTCCCTGGTTGGTTCCAAATCGATATTCCCCTCCAATTCTCCCTCTTCATTGGAAAACTAGATCTTCCCTCAAATCATTGACCATCTAGCCACCGTGCCAGAGATCTTGCTGCTACATTGCACGCCGCCTCAAGCCATGCCAGCAACTTCGCCGCGAAGCCACACAAGGTGATGTTTATTTGCTCGAAAATTAAAAAGGAAACGAAAAATTAATACTTTTGAAGGAGTCCAGGTTTCAATAATTTCTTTCTTTCTTTTAAGTTACATCTAAGTTGTTGTTATATTGAAAATCCCTTCACATCGTCCACAACCATTGGGGTTAAGGCACATCAAATGATTAATTTGATAAAAAAACAATTTTAATATCACAAGTACTTTCGAATTATACAGTTATAAAAGGGTGAAATAAATCTTTGGTACTATTGTTGCACTAAAGACTTAGTGCATCCCAACAATAGAAACATTACATGTCAGTCAAAATTCTCTTACCTCTGCCAAATTCTTTCTCTCTCCTCTGATGTGTAATATTTCTATTTGTAGGATACACTGAATCTAAGTACAACAGATGCACTTAAGATTTATTCAAAAGGGTGGGAGAACAAATCTTACCTCTGTGACATAACACCACGTGGACCCATTTTATTATTGGATTTATTTATCTCACGTTGTTACATGAGATAATTATCTCAGGCAACAAAAACAAATAATTGGATTCATTATTTTATTTTTTAAAGAAAAAATAGTCGATACCGCTATTTTGTTTACGTTGCGTGAGATAATTATCTATTGTATGACCCCGTTTCATATTTAAGGTAATAATATCTTGCTTACTGTTCAATTCTTTCACATATGCTATGCATTAGGTTGATGATCATGATGTGCTCTTATTTAAATGAGGAAGTTAACTTACATAACTAAATTGTTAAAGAAATTTATGTTTTGCAAATCAAAACAATTCACACAGCCAAACTAAAGTCACAGAATTGGGGCATATCATGTTCTTGTATTGATGTAACAGTTGAATCTTTATTCTTCGTGTGCTTTCAGGGTCTGCAAACTTAGTTTGGTGGCTGTGTTATCATGGTAAGTCTTTTATCATGAGAAAACCCATATGAAGGAAGATGGGTTAGGTGAGACGAGGATTTGGTAATTAATTTGTAGACTTTTGTTTGCATTGTTTATCATTGTACCCTGTCAATAATGAGAATGCAATTTGGTGATTTCTGTGCTCTTTCCCTTTGAGAAGGCTCATACAAAGAAAATTGAAAATTCAAAGGCTGGTGCGAAGATCTCTGAATTTTGAAGAATACAATTAGAGGTCTTGTCTTTGAGGGGGTGGTGATACGCTGGATGATTGGTAATATGCAGGGCTTATTGATGCAATTACGGAATTAACTTTAAAAGGGCCTTCTGCCATTTCTGCTGTATAATTCTATTCGAAAGATTTTGAATCACATAGGTTACAAATCTTGTGCATACAAGTCCTTGTTGAGCGTTGTACAAGTTAGACTGATGCTAAGGCTCCTCATTGGTGTAACTGAACATTTTGTTCCCTTGAGCACAAATTGCAATCTAAAGAGTTGTGAGGTCTCATTCTTTGACAATATAGTGGCGTTAAGGAGGAAAAAAAACCAGGTTTAAATAGCTGCTAGCCCAAAGTTCTAACTTAATCTACTTAGAAAAAGCTCTCGCCTAAACATTTTCATTATATACCTTTTTAACACATAAACTTAGTGAAGGCAATAAATCAGGTTCCTGGATTACAGATCACATAACATAAGGATTTATATATGCCAATCAAATAATTCAAACCATAACTGATATAATTCATGAACCCGCACCTACGTGGGCAGGAAAATTTATGAAAATGTAACTAACTATTAAAAGTCCGGTTTTGCCAATTCCAGGATCTTAGGCAACTGTGGAATAGGTAATTCAGGGACTTAAGGCAATAAAGGCTGTGGCAAAGGTGGCAACTCAGGTTTGGGTAGCTGAGGAATTTCTGGCTCTAGCAATGTTGACTTTTGAATATTGTGTGACTTGTTGCAGACAATAAAGTAAGAACCAAAAATGGGAAAATTAATGTTGACAAAATGCAGGAAGCCATTGTAGAATCAAGCTGATGACAAGAGATTCAGGAGTTCTTTGCAAAAAGTTTGATATGCTCAGTGAGCGAAGTATGCAGAAGTTATATGTGGGGGGCTTTTATAGGTGTAATTGTGTAACTCGAAAAGGGGTAAGCAGGCTGAGTTGGTGGAATAGTTTAGTATTGTTAGTTCAACTTCTTACCTATACATTATTTCTTATAATAAACTTTAATTAAAACCATTGTTCGTCAACAGACCTATCTGCATACAAGGGAATGAAATATTTTTGCGACCTTTGGTATTAACAAATCCCCTTTATCCTTGAAAGCCAATGTTCTCAGCGAGAAAGCTACCTCAAGAGCAAGGATTACTAGATATGTTTGCCAATCAAAAATAATTCCTTTAGCGTTACGAAATGTCTTCTCTAGAGTCGGCTTCAACACCAACAAACTGTAGTAAAATATTATCTATGAAAAGGAGGGAAACGGATGAGAAGGTTAACCAAAGACAAAATCAATCTCAGAAAAAGTCGAAAATTAGATTACCAAAAATTCAACCTTACCTTACCAATACACTTTCACATCTCTATGCATCTATCTATATATAACCCAAAGCTTCTAACAGGCTTTGCTACAAATCAAAGCAAAACACCTTGTGCACATTTCTACTTCAGCCTAGAGGTGCCATTCTCTAAATCTTGAATATTTAACCTTAGCCATGGCTTACCACAGTTCCTTCGTCATAGCTCTCTTCATAGCTCTTTCCTTTTCAAGCATGGATTTTGGCCTAGCAGGTCGCCATCTTTTACAAACGACTCAACCTTCTCTACCAAATTTGCCTGGCTTTCCTACTTTGCCCAAAACAACAATGCCACCATTGCCATCACTGCCACAGGGGAATGTTCCCCCATTGCCTACAATACCAAATCTGCCACAACCATCAATACCAACCACCCTGCCACCACTTCCAAGCATCCCTCCAATGCCAACAGCCTCATTTCCTAACATCCCCTCAATCCCAACTGTGATTCCCTCCATCCCATTTTTCTCTCCACCCCCTGCATCCACAAGTCCTTGAGAATGTGTAGCGGTTTCCAGTTTATGAAGCTTGTGTATTTGTCAAATTTCCCTACTTTTGTCTTTCTTGTACTCTTGTTGATGTATTTGTGATTTGTGTTGCCCAAGGTTAATTTATATACATTAATTATAGTCGTATTATTTTATGTTCCTTTTCCCGTGGTACTTTCTAGCAAGAGCTTCCTATTAGTAGTTGGTGATGACATTATCTTAACGTTATATTCCACTTCATTTTAATTTCTTTTCGGACATTGATTCAAGAATTTTGGCGTTGAGGGAATTCCTCGTGAGATAACGTTTTAACCAAACTTACAGATTTGAGACAAGACTCTGCAGAGCAAGAAAGTTTTGATATTATAGGGTGCAATGCTAATTAATATGCAATCATAATTAGTTAATGGGGTTCGACTAGCATTGTAGTATTTTTTTATTTTTTTTGAATATTACAGGAATCGAACTTGCAACCTAATACACACTACACACACCCAACACCACTAGGCTAATCAGGTATCCAAATCAGGTAATTCTTTTTTTGATTCCACATAACTTTTCGAGATCTTCGCAATGACACCTCATTTGCTATATTTTATCTCTCACAAACACAATTTGAATTTGCAAGAATGAGACTTTATCTTGTAAGTCGTGGTCTGAAATTAATGATGGCACCAAAGTGGATTTATCCATCTATAAATAAGAATACTTACATAGTAAAATATATACTTTCTACCAAATGTTTGAAAAAAAATAGTGTATAATATTGTGAGAAAAGAAAGTGCCACAATATAAAAGTGTAAGAGGGATTGGTGAGAATATAATGTTCTTTAAGTTGCATTAAAAAATGCAAAACTTTTCATATATTGCATTAAAAATATGTTCTTATGCATTATTACAAACATATATAGCACCTCAAACCTTCTTATCAAAGCATGTTTCATGAAAAGCCTGCAATTGGATGCCCCTTTGGCATATTTCATCTTTGTGAATGATGTTATTTAAATTTTTACTTCCCATCATTAAGAAATAAATCTCTGAAAATTTTTCTGTGCGTAGATATCGAAAAGTTATGTGGAATAAAAAAAATAACCTGCTTTGGGCTTCCAAGCCAAAAAAAATTAAATAGGTCATCCTTGAATTTTTGAAAGACCACGATTTCAATTAGTTTAGTTTATTTTGAATTTCTGAGAGACCATAAGTCGACTTTTTTTAATAGATTAAAATAGGGGGTAAGATATTGTAACAACCAATTAGTTTAACTACCAATCAATTTCACCGTTAGATCGATTATGTTGATCTAACGGTTATACTTATTTCCATCTTTGTATAGTTATGATTCCCCATATTTAATGTGAAAGCATTATATATGGGAAATCATAACCATGCAAAGGTGAAAATAAATATAAAATATTAAATATGGGGAATAATAACCATACAAAGATGAAAATAAATATAACTGTTGGATTAACATAATCGGTCTAACAGTAAAATTGATTGGTAGTAACACTAATTGGTTGTTACAATATCTTTTCCCTTAGAATGGACCCTGTATTTTTTCTTGAGGACAAGAAAAGGTATTTACTCTTTTCAAAAAGAAGATTGTGTTTGATGTTGGTTCCAAAATAACTCGGAGGCTTCTGGGTTTAAATGCAATTATACCATTGTTGCAAATTCGAATTGTGTTTGTGAGAGATAAAATATGTCAAATGAGATGTCATTGCGTAGATCTCAAAAAGTTATGTGGAATAAAAAAAATACCTGATTCGGATACCCAAGTCAAAAGTTATGGCCTTTAGAAGTTTTACATTAATTTGTTATTTTTTTGACACGTGTCAACACCCTATGAGTGACGCCTAACTTAGGCGTGACTTCCTCATGGGTGACACCTAACTTAGGCTTGACTGTTGACGCCCAATCAGAGTGTGGACACACTGCAATACACGCGTAAATAGTTTCAAAACAGCAATAAATTCGTAATTTTTTATTTAAAATGCAATTACTTAATTTTTTTGCCCAAAACAAAATAAAATAGCAACCTTACATTGTAACATTCTTTAAAGGAGAGTTTCTATCACATTGACATATTGTTGGCAGTGAGCAATAGGATAACGACACAAGGGACACATATGACTAGTTTGCAGCTATTGCATAATACATTGTTGGTGAAACACGTGATCGCAGGTCATTGCTGAGACTGCTATGCCTTCATTATCACCACTCACATCGAACTCTTCCAAGTAGATAGTACAGTACTCATCCTGTTTCATAACCTTGAACTTCTTTAGAGAATGGATAGCATTCTTGGAAGCTGGAATCATTCTAAAACCTTGTGCGGACTCCTCCATCACTGCATGCATGACATTGTATGGCTCGTACTTTAAGACAATGTCCATTTTCAAAGGGAACACTCGATAACCTGAAACAAAATCAGGATCAGATGGAAGGTTGTGGTCGAATAATTGATAAACTCTATGTAACAGCCCGTTACGTACTGACAATGTTATCATTATATATGGTATTAAGCGCAGTTACAATCACAGTAATTGAGTTAATTAAATTACGGGTAAATTTTTTCTTTTATTACATTATTTCCTTTAAACATTAACCATTTTCGTAATCAATTAAAAACAACACCGTATTTGTAAATGCAAAACTCACGGAAGCATAAAACTTATTTATTATAACCCCTCCAAGTAATACCATTAACTCTAGGTTATAAAATAACTCATGTTCAAAAATTACACAGTGAGAATCGATTCCCAACAGCTAGGAATCGATTCCCAGCAGCTACAGTAACAGACAGAAGCTTCATTTTGGCTCCCCTATTTTTAGGAATCGATTTCCAGCCTTCACAGTGGCTGGATTTTACGTATTCTATTTTAGGGAATCGATTCCCTACTGTGAAATCACATTTTTTACAGCTTTTTGACTTCAAGAGCGATCAAGTATCTCACTCCTAACACTTTAATACTTAATATAACATATGTTCAAGTATTAATGTAGGCTCTAGGCCCTTCCATCATGCATATTAATTATACAATGTCTCAATTACAAGAATTCCCAATTCCAAGGCCATTTAAACATTATGTGACTCATTTTACATCATAAATCTCCAAATGCCTCTAAACACAAAATATGTGGCCATGGACAAGTCTCATGCTCACCAAGATGTCAATATAACAAGAGGCATATATATACATCAATTTCAAAAGACTTAAAATATAGTCATGAACACACAAAAGCATTACAATGTCAACATGCAATATGTTTATAACCTAAGTCCAAAATACTAAACACTATGCTATGTGCATCAAATGGAATCCTCCAATATGCTATGCCCTCCATATGCACCTCATGCTCAACTCCTCCACTAAGTGGGCCTCTTGCCCGAAGATCCTCCATGCTCAACATAACCTGAAATGATGTCCCCAACGCGGGGTGAGATATACAAATATATCTCAGTAAACCAAGGGTACTAGAGAATCACTCCACCCCATGACTCACTCAATGTGAATATAATGATCATCACATAAAATGCATAACATACAAAATCACATCACACTGGGCTTACATCCAAGAACATCCACACAAGGATTCTGCTCAAGGACCCTATCATATAACTCTCGGGAAGCTTCCTGGTGCCTCTCCCATGGATGACACGACCCCATGGAAAAATCCAACTGGAACTCCTCATGAGCCCTATCCAGCAGAAGTCGCACGTTTGGATCATCCTGGTGCCGCTCCCAGAGTCGGCCCCACGACAAAACCCGACCGGAATCCCCCAAAGGGATATCTCCAGCGGAAGTCCAAACCACACACATCTACTGGCCAGAGATCACAAATATATCACATAACATGCTCCAAGCATGTCACAAAATCAAGCAATAATACATGAACATGTCATTTCATACAAAGTCAAAGCGCACAAAATCCAACCACGACCTTCCACTAGGTGTAGCGGAACACACAAGGGATAAAACCCAAGTACCAAGAGTTTACCTCAACTCCGTACGCAATGCTCCACACGTAAACTCCAAGCTTATTCCACTTCTATTGGTTCCGTGAGAGGCAACCTATATGATCAAACACAATGACCATCAACCAATTGCAAACAATCAATCAACTTCACAATAATTATAATCAACATAGCCTCTTAGGCCTAATGGGCAACTTACATTTAATTCAACTACCTCAACCATTTTAATCATCAAACTAACTCATCAATCCACTATTCTATGCATCAAGGCATCAACCATTAATTGTACAATATTTTCCACATCATTTTCCTCCAAACCCTCCATAGTTCAAATTCCTCAAGGACTCATGCTCCAAGGTTTTCAATCCAATTCAACACTTCTACATCTCACACAATCCTATAATTAATTCATACCAATGCTCCACAACACAATTATTCAATCACACTATCATCCCAAATCACAATGTATTGAAATTCAACTCAAAACTTCACCAAGTTACAATTTTACAAGTCACCCATAAATTTATTGCATCAATCGTCATCATTTATCATTCTAAGCATTTAATTCCAAAGGAGACATACCATTTAGTGCTCCTAAATACCACAACTCAACATACATAATCAAAAACCCTCACCATTTTATGATCTCATGGAAAACTCATTGAGAGTGTGAAAACTTACCACCAATAGCTTCCTAGGATCCAATGGGATAGTCTCCAACCAATGAATCAACACAAAAAGTCCCAAAAATCCTTCAAAATTCATGGCTGACTTTGGGGAATATCTCCTCACACAATGATCCCCACAAGGTGCACTCTACATGAAAGTCACTCACAATCTCAAGGGGAACAACTTTGTAGTTGGAAGTTTCTCTCAAACGTGGTTAGAAAAAGGAGTTAGAAAATCAAAAGCTTCCAACCCTCACCAATGGCCACAAGCACGATGGGAGAAGAAGGAAGAGGAGAGAGAAAATCAGATTTTGAGTGTCTCACTTTGTTCTTTTGTCACTTAAATCACTTAAGTGGGTCCCACACGTCAATTAACTTTCTTAAATCATTTAATTTAACCCACAAATTCATAACCTACGTATTTTTCTCGTTCACGTCATATTTTTACTTCCTAGAAATACTAATCATATTTTCACGTTTATCGGTACAATTATACCGCAATATTTTACACCGATAAAATCACTATTCATCAAATTTTCCGAAACTTGCCTATCCCCTCAATTTTTTGTTCTGAATTCATTTTCGGCATTATTTTTATCATTTGAGACCTTCTACTCTATTTTTCTTGTCTCGGGTTACGTGTTTGGGTAAATTACCATTTTACCCTTCTTATGCAATTTGACCCTAATCTCAGAATTTTCACTAATCCTACAATTTACACCACATTTCATATATAATAATACACTTATAAAAATACGAGGTGTTATACTCTGCCCATTATTGCCGGTATCATTAGATCAAGCGATCTCGTGGGAGGTGGGATAAATGGGACCGCAGGAAATCTTGACCATCTTGGAAGAAGGTTTTGCAAGCTATTTCTTGACAAGATTGGAGCAAGCTTGTTACATTTACAAGTAACATTGAGTTTGAATCTTATAAGCAAGAAATATTGATGTCGAATTTGAACCAATCGGTGGGCGTGAACATGAGCTTAGGTTGCTGTTGGTCATCAATATTTTGAATGAATTGATGTTGATGTTGCGGAGAGACACTGAAGTAGTAGTGTGCCGAGTATTTACATGTCATGGTGGTTGTACCTTTGTAGTATTGAATGTGATTCCGAAGATGCCATAGTGAAGAAGAGACTCAACTTGTATGGCTTCTTGGGGATATTTATTTATAGAAAAAGGCTTGACGACAACATGTGTTATAAAAAGAAAATAAATATATGGTGTTTTATCAGCTACTTACATATCATTGAATCTTACCCCTCTTTTTTCTGTTTTCAACTATTATTAGTTAGGACATATTTTTATTATATTTTGGAGAGTATATATGTTGAATGCATTACCATGGTTCAAACAAATTACAAATAGAGTTTGTGTATTCCACGCAAATACATCAGACAAATTGCAATGCATGTTTATTATAAGGATGGTCAAAGTTGTAAACTAGCAAACATTTATTTTCCATATATAATTTGTTGCAAATAAAATTTGCACATCCACCGCACATATAATTTATCTTTCATATGTAGCCAACATTTAATTGTATATTAACTTTAGGGAATAAATTGTTATTGTAGAATGGTGGGATTGTGAAATATACAGTCATGAGAAAGTAAAGAAAATTTTAAATGACCCTAAGAATAATTTGATTTAAATTTCTTATCTTTTATTATTTCAATGTGTATCTTTAGTATCACATACCATAAGTGTTCGAGATTTTAAAATTATGTTATGTGTCTAATATTATATTACATTATTTACGTATCTAATATTATTTTATATTAAGTTATCTTTCTAATATTATATTATATTAAGTTAGTTGCTATATTAAAGTTATATTAGGTTGAAGACGTCTCGCTACTCTGATATGAAGTTAAAAGATCTACAGAAGCATCCTGAAGAAGGAGCTCTAACAAAGGAGAAGGAGGAGAATGATAAACAATAAGATTATTATCATCCTCAAAATGCCTAGAAGCAAACCAGTGAGCACATCTGTTATTTTCTCGAAAAGTGTGGACCCAACGAACATCCCAATTTTCAGCAAGCTTTGTGAATACGGGAAACAACCTGAGAGTTTCGGTGATTATTGCTCCCTTCTTGGATAGTGCTAAGAGAAATTTCTGAGTCACATTCCAACTCCACTCTCCTAGCACCAGTACCCCAGGCCAGCTCTAAGCCTTTGAGGATACCCCAGAGTTCTGCATCAAGAGGATTACAGAAACCTAATCTGAAAGAGAAACCACCCAGAAAAGCACCATTGTGATCTCTAGCAAGGCCTCCACAGCTAGCATGCTGCCTAGATAAGGAAGAAGCACCATCTGTGTCAATCTTCAACCGACCAGGTTCAGGACGACACCATTTAGTAGGCTGATGGGCATTAGGGAACTGCCAAGAATGCTTCTATTCTTACCTCTAGCTTCAATTAAATGCGCAATAAAATCAGAAATGACACGCTTATCATTGCTTGGCCTTCGGAAACTATCATCATGAATATGATGATTACGCCAATTCCAAAGATTCCAGCAAGTAGCATAGAAAACATCTCTCCAATCAACATGAATTTGATAATTCCAACCCTTACTCACATTTTTGATGAGCCAAGGTTGTAGGTCTAATGTGAAGAAATCGTTGGGGACCCTTCTACCAAACCAATCTATCCACAATCTTTTGGCTTGAGAACAATCTCTAAGGACATGAATAAGAGTTTCTTCACTGTTTGGACAGTTAATGCAAAAATTAGGACCCCCATTCCATTTGCATGTACGACTCCTAACTGGAAGCTTATTAAGAATAGCCAGCCACATAGTCTTGATTCTTTCTGGACCCTTCCAGTCCCAAATCTTCTTCCAGGGAACATTCCTTTGAGCATGTTAAAAATTCATCAAGTTCAAGTAGGCAACCTTAACTAAGGAAGAGGACACATGATTCTGACACCAAACTAACTTATCCTCAGTATTATCTTCCAAAGCAACAGGAACGCAAAACACCTTAGAGATTAGCTCATCATTTAAGAATTGCTTCAAATATCGAACATCCCAGGTACCATGCTGAAAGATCTCAGCAATGGTTCTATGCAATTCCAGATCAGGAATGTGATTAGGAGCTAAATTACAAAGATTATCATCCAGATTCAACCAATTATCCGCCCAGAATTTAATAGTCTCTCCATCACCCACCTCCCATCGAAGACCGACTAAAAAACTGTTCCAACATTTAGAAAGGTCCCGCCAAAGTTTAGAATCATAAGGCTTAGAGCTTATCTCACGCCTCAAATCTTTACCTCTGCCATACTTGGCTCTCAAAATCTTAACCCAAAGTTCCTCCTTGTCAGTTAAGATTTTCCAAGCCAACTTATGAATATAAGCCTCATTTTGAGTACGCAATCTGATAATACCAAGACCTCCCATTTCCTTCGGCTTATACATTGTGTCCCAAGCCACTAAATGAGCTTTATTATTACCCCAAATGAAGTTTCGTTGAAGCTGTTCAATCTCATCACACACAGAAGTGGGAAGAAGACCATTCTGCATATGAAAAGAGGGAATAGCACCAATGACTGATTTAGCCAGAGTGACTCTCCCCGCAAAAGATAAACTTTGATGCTTCCATCCATCAAGTTTCTTACGAACCCGATCCATTAGATCAGCATAATTTGATTTCAAATTTCGCCCTTGCCTGATAAAAGAGCCCAGATATTTACCAATGCTACTGACTCTTTTGAACCCAGAGAGCGCATAAATTGCATTTGCAGTTGCATCAGATGTATTGGAAGAGAAATAAATGGTAGACTTATGAACACTTATACTTTGACCAGACATTCTGCAAAAAAGATCTAAACACTCCATTATTATCTGCATTTGCTGCACCGAAGCTTCAGAGAAAAGGACAATATCATCTGCAAACATGAGATGGGAGACTGCTGGACCAACTCTACACACTCTGATCGGTTTCCACACACCACTGCCAACCCTTTGAGCAATAAGATGAGATAGCTTTTCAACACATAAGACAAAGATGTATGGGGATAATGGATCACCCTGTCGAATTCCACGTTCAGGAATAATAGTTTCAGACAAGCCCCCATTCACAAGCACTTTGAAACTATTAGTTGTGATAGACGCCATAATGAATTCAACCATCCAAGACGGAAGCTGTATTTCAGAGATAACCTTACGAATAAACGACCAATTCAGCTTATCATAGGCTTTCTCTAAATCAATTTTAATGGCCATAGTACCCATCTTACCTTTAAACTTTGTCATCGAATGGACAATCTCTTTAGCTGCAATAATGTTATTCTGCAAGTTTCTGTTTGGGACAAAGCTGGTTTGGTTATCAGAAACCAAAGCTTCCATTACTTCCTTTAGTCTACCCACTATAACTTTACTCATGCCTTTGTAAATCACATTGCACAAGGAAATTGGCCTGAATTGAGAAACCAACGTAGGCTTATTAACCTTTGGGATAAGGGTAATAATCGTACCATTAATATCAGCAATGGTTTGCGGGTTTTCCAAATAAGCTAGGAAAGCATTCCAGACTTGATCACCTACCAGATTCCAGTTCTTTTGATAAAAAGCAGCTATGTACCCATCCTCCCCTGGGGCTTTTGAGCCTTTCATTGTGAAAAAAGCTTTTTTAACTTCCTCCTTAGTAACACTCACCCTTAATTTATCCATGACTTCCTCAGGAACAATAGGCCATCTAGTATTGATCCACTCACGATGACAGCTTTCATCTTTGAAAAGATTAATATAAAAATCGCGGGTCATCTTAACCAGGCCTTCCTCGTCACGAATCCAACTTCCATTATCATCCTTGAGTTCCACGATTCTACCTCTTTTCCTTCTGACAATAGTCTTTGTATGATAGTATCTCGTGTTTCTGTCACCTTGATTAATCCACTGAGTTCGAGACTTTTCATACCATAATAACTCCTCTTGATCAAGGACCTCCTCAAGTTCAGCTTTGATCTTGCACTCCACTTTCTCCAGATAATCTTTATTGTGCTCAGAAATGGCTCTTTGAATACCTTCAAGTCTTCTCATCAACTTATTCTTCCTATGCTTAATATTCCCAAACACTTTCTCATTCCACTCCTTAATGCCAGGGGTAAGAACCTTCAAACAATCAGCAATGTTCCCATGCACGTGCCAATTGTCCTTTAAAAATTGATTGAACAGGATATGTTCCTACCAAAAGGAATGGAAACGGAAAGGACGATCCTTCCACTCATCTTTTGAAGAAGACAAGGATATAAGAAGGGGGTTATGGTCACTGTTTAACCTAGGAAGGGCTCTAACATGACCCTCCTCAAATGTAACCCTCCATAAATCGTTACTGCAAGCACGATCTAACTGTTTGAAAACTCTATCCATATTCAGGAAACGAGGACCACGCCAAGTAAATCTCGAACCGGAACTATTCAAATCAATCATCTTCAGATCCGTAAGCAAGGAAGCAAATCTGTTACATTTATATAAATCTACCGGGGCACCTCCACGTTTCTCAAAAGGGGAAGCGATTTCATTAAAATCATCGGTGATAAGCCAGGGCTCATTCATAGAATCAGCAATCCGACGAAGATCCTGCCAAAGGCTACGTCTCACCTCTTCTCTAGGATTGGCGTAAATAAATGTGCATAAGAACGCAACATTATCGAAGAAACAAACTTTCAAATGAACCATTTGCATGTTCTTTTCCAAAATCGTAACATTACAGAACTCCTTGTTCCACAAAACCCAGATCCCTCCCATGAAACCTTGAGCTTCTTCCACAATACAGTTGTTATACCCTGTTCTTTTAATAATCTTTTGAGCTTTCGCACCACTTATTCTAGGTTCAAAAATAGCAGTCAAATCTATTCTGTGTTTTCGGATCATACTAGTTAAGGTTCCCAAAAACCTTTTCTTTGCCGCCCCGCGACAATTCCAAGCCAGCAAAGACATCAATCAACCATAAGGGTTGCAGGTTCCTGGTACCCTGCTGACCCCTTAACAATCTCAACACCATCTTCATTTATACCTCCTTTATCAACCTCCATGTGATGCGATAAAATAGACGCATCCGAATGGGTAGTGACCAAAGTCCTATTAGGATCCAGAGCTTTAGGATATTTTAAACCATTATCACTCCCACTTTGGTCCCCCACGTTCTGATCCACTTCCATTGCTGTATTTTGAACAGGAGGCAACACAACTTGCCTATCTACAAGTAACATAGGGGTAGTCAAATGCTGGTTCTGAATTTTAGCAATAGCTTTCTGACGTAGCCCTATATTATTGGCCAAATCCTCTTTTTTTGAAGGCATAGGAACATTTTTAGAGGCTACCCTATCATTTGAGAGTCCCCCAACAAGGATGTACCTATCTGCATGTTCTTCCAATTCAATGCTAGAATAACTCGAGGCATCTTTTCGATTAAAACCTTTTAAACCACTATTAATGATGCCATTATTTTCTACACTGATGGCTCCCTCAATTCCCCTTGATTTTTGGTCATTAATTACGCTAGGATTATGCCCATGATTAGGCTCCTCATTAATCACTTCCAGCTCAGCTTGATTCAAATCCCCAATCACCATTAAACTGTCGTAACATGATTTTGTATTTACTGCATTTAAAACAGACTGATATGATTGCACTGATAACTGCTTTGATTGCGCAGTATTCTCCCCGAAATCACGTTGAGTGATTCTTCTCGAAGTCATCAGCGTTCTGCCATCTTGGGTAGCAGCTTGGCTTCTAGGGCGGCGTTGGCGATTAACCACCATCCAAGGGCCAAGACCGTTCCGGTTATCTTCAACTTTATCAGCTTCACCATCCCCAGAAGGATGAGATTCATTCACCATGATCTGTTCTTGAACAATCTCAGAACAACAATCCTTGCTATGGCCATACTTTCCACAGTTGAAACAAATGAGCCCTAGACCTTCATATTCTATATGCTTCAAAACTCCCTCAAGAACATACTCTCCTTTTAAAGGTTTAGCCAAATCTAGTTCAACACAGATCCTTGCAAAGCGACCCCTAGCATGAAGGTTTGTAGTCCTATCAATCTTTATTAACTTCCCTATCCAGTTACCCACCCTACGAAAGAAAACTTCATCATAAAATTCCAATGGAATATTAGGAAGGCGGATCCAAGCTGCTATCTTTGATATGCCCTCAGCATTAGGCCTGAAGCCAGGTTCCCACTTACGTAAGGACAGATAATGACCTAGGACAACCCAAGGGCCTCCACTTAGAGCAAATTCCATGTCTTCATCATCACTAAATTGAACCACATAAAACTCATTCCCAATATCTGTGACGTTCACTTTTCCTTTCCTTCCCCATAGCTCCTCGATCTTTTTCTTCATGAACGAGACACCTGTAGACCTGCCCAGCAGCTTAACAATCAAAGCTTTTTCCCACACTCTATGCAAGCGTCTTCTTCCTCTCTTAGTGCAACCAAAATGAGTCTTTCCATCCTCTTCCACCCACATCTTTATGCCCCCAAAATTAACGTCTTCTTCCTCAGCTGGTTCACCCTGCAAATTCTCACCTTCAAGAGTATCAGTACCCTCCTCATCATTCTTCTCTCCATTATGACGTTGCAGCATCTCCTTCCATGAAATTCGACCCTCCCCTTGGTCCTTCATCCAGGATTCCTCCCAAGGAACCATTGATACATCATGTGAGAATTTTTCTCCACGATCTTTATTACGTTTATTACTTCGCTTTAGTATGTCTTCCTCCTCCGATGATCGCTCTGGTGGTTCTCTCACAGTTTTCTCCATAAAGATGCACCCAACTTAATACACCGGAAATATTTAAAAAATTTCCAAGTGTGCCACCCTTTGGATTACAATATATTCCCTTTAATTTGCTCTTTTTATTTCTCCTAGAACAATGTCTTGCCATGAAGTTATTTATTTTTTTTCCAATCAAATGTAAAGAATGACATGAATTATTTCATGTACGACTTAGGTGTCAATATGGCTTGGTCTGCCCTGCTCCGACCCGTCATTAACTCGCCAAAAATGGGGGAGGAGTGAGTTGACCTACCATTTTATGGTGGGTTGGCGAGTCAACCCACCAATCCGTCAATTAAAAAAATTAATTAAAATTTAAAAATAAATTATACTTTATGAATTTTATAATATTATTTAATTGTATTTCACGCTCCTCTTAATTTTTTTAATATCAATCTTAAATGTATACTAGTATTCAGTTAAATAATTCTTTAGGAACTCATTGGTCTCCATATATAGATAACATTTGTCATAAATAAAGTTTTTATTCTTTATTTTTTCTAGGGAGTACTAAGATAAAAAAAATTGGATATCACAAAAGTTTAGTGACAAATAAAATATTATTTAATTATAAAAAAATTAATTATGACCCAGCGGGCGAGGCAAGTTGAACCCGTTTTGACCCATTTTTAGGCGGGGCGGATTGAAGTGGGTTGGCGGGTTGAAAATCTCAACCCAACCAGCCTCGTTTTGTCGGGTTAGCAGGTTGCACGCCAGGCTCAACCCATATTGCCACCTCTATAAGACTAGATCACTTATCTCAAAGTTTTTGTGGCGTGTAGTTTACATCAGCTCAATTGCATTTTATATTTTAGGATCTTCATGTGTAAATAATTTTATTATTCTCATTAACTTTAAATTAAAATTCACTAGTTGTTCAATTTTTTTATTATTTTCACTTTTTTACAAAAAAATGAAAAAATCTTATAAAAACAATAAACAATTTACAATATGTCATTTTAGTAGGCCTGGAAGGCTAGGAGATCAATATTTTAGCTTGCACTAGTCTAAGAGGTTAGGCCAAGCTCAGAATATTTTATACAGGCCTAGTTTTTTTTAGGCTAAAGCTTGGTTGGGCTTGTCCCGTTTACCCCATTAGTTGGCACAGCGTAACCTATTGGTGGTGGTTCCCCACCATATGCTTCCCATGACCCGCCTGATAATGGTATTAGAGTCAGCTTGAGCTCGGGTTAGCCTAGTGTTTGCTAGAGACGATTCGAGTACTTGGATCTAGGGTACTCAGTTAAAGGGAAGCATATCAATATTAGGGGGTTTCACACTTCATGGAGAGATTGTTGAGATATTTTAATGTGATAAAGTTCCACATTAATTGGTAAGGGACTAAGTGAATTCCATATAGGTGGGAGTACTTACGAGACCTACTTTCAATTATTTCAATTAACTCGTAATTTGTGATGTTAACAAATTAACATACCCCTTAACATTTTGACATTGTAATACCCGACGCAGGCCACCCCTGCTTCCCATGTTTATTCATCATTCATATTAATGACATGAATGATGACATCTTTGAAAGGGAGACCGCACAAAACCTTAACTTTTATACAAAGTTTGGTATCCACTTAAAAATGAGTTGAAAAATAAATTAAAGGATGGGTTTTTTATATTGATTTTCACATAAAGCTCATCTCTAAAGTTGTCCAGAGACATCAAATTGGTGCTTCAAAGATTTCTCACATTTAGGAAAAGATAGGACAAGCGCTACGCTAATGAAATGGAGAATTTATGAAAGCTAAAAGGCATACCATAGGCTTTGTTTGGGAATTAGTTTTAGGAGGGAAAGGAAAGGAAGATGAGGGTTTTATTAATCTCTTCCCTTATTTGTGAGTTTAAAAAAAGGGTTCGTTTTTTCTGTAGTTAATGCATATAAGTTATCTGCATTGAGGCCAAAACGACGTCATTTTGGGGCGAAAATCAAGGTGTTTTTGTAATTTTAATTTATTTCAGGGTTATAATAGTCTTTATAATTATAATTTTTTAATATTTCAACACCAAAACGACATCGTTTTGGGAGTAAATGCAGATAACTTATCTGCAGTAACTACGAAAATAGTTTTCTGTTAAAAAAATGGGAGAGGGGAATTGAGAATTTTTACAAAATCCTCCAAAACCCTTTTCACTCTTAAAATTAAAGTTCCCCCAATTTGGGGGGTTTGAGGGGAGAAATAATGAAAACTACTTATTTACCCTTAGCATTAAAATGTGAAAACTACATAAATGTGAATTATTTCTAAATGTGACACTATTAGAAAAGTCTCAAATACCGCCAGAATTTATAGACGGAAAATATGTCGTCGAAAATAGTAACAATTTTTTTGACAAAAATCATATTATGTCAAAAATAGAGATGGAATAATTTTTCGTCGAAACTAGAGACGAAATAAGATTTTGTCATAATCACCGACATAAATTTTTGAGGGAGAAAAATTCAGTCAAAATTCTTGATAGAATATAAATTCTGTCGAAACTTTCGACAGAACATTTCCGTCAAACTTTTCAACGAAAAATAATTCTGTCAAAAATTTTGACGAAACACATTTCCATAAAATAAATATTTGATAGAAAATAATTTCGTCAAATTATTTTACGGAAAATATTTTCGACAAAATTTTTGAATGAATTAAAATTTCGTCGAAAGTTTTGACGAAAACATTTCCGTCAAATTTTTTGACAAAAAATATTTCCATTCAAAATTTTGAACGGAACACATTTATAGAGAAAATTTTGATGACAAATATTTATGTAAAATATTTTAACCAAAAATATTTTTGTAAAACATTTTGACGGAAAAAAACTTTTGGTCAAAATTCTTTACGGAGTCTAAATTTCGTCGAAAGATTTCCCTCAAAATTTTCGACAAAAAAACATATCCGTCAAAATTTTCGACAAAAAAACATATCCGTCAAAATTTTCAACGAAAAATATTTCAAACAAAATTTTCAACGGAACACATTTCAATCGAAATTTTTTGACGAAAAATATTTCGTAAAACATTTTGATAAAAAATTTTGACGGAAAAAACTTCCTCAAAATTTTTTACGGAATCTAAATTCGATCAAAATATGGAAAAAAAAAAATAGTTCATTATATTCAATATCTTTACAAGAAGAACAAAATAAAAAATAAAATTCA